GCCCCTGGAAAGGCTAATAGCTCGTCCGTTCCGCACCGCAAGCATCTGCGGTCCGGAGTTTTGCAAATATCACAGCATCACCGTGGTTACACTCTTTGATTTAAATCGCGAAAACACTTTTTATGGATGAAATAAATTGTTACCAAATGAAATAACGCAATTTCACAGCTATCATAACTGACTGTAAATTATGGTGATATCTGGATGGATATCTTTCACGACGAATTGTATAGTACATAGTAAAATGCCTGTGAAATCGAAATGTACTGCTTAGGTAAGCGTTTCTATTCCGAGTGTTAATGTAGCCCCATTCATAGCGCTAGCGACGGATCAAAGTGGTCAGTCGACGTTCCCTGTTGATCAAACTTTACCATCTTGCGAATAGGATTCCTCCAAGACGGGAAAATTTCACAGTAAAGCATTACACTTCTTAAGTGGATTTCTATCTTGTAATTCTATAGTTAAAAGACCGACATACGCCAACTAAACAACGGGACCCTTGTGATACGTGGAGAAAAGGTCCCATCACGAAATGTCGGTGGCGTAGGCTTTGTCGTCCACCCGACTATCGTCCATCTCGTGGACTCATACGTGATCCTTTCCCCTCGCATAGCCGTCCTCCGCCTTCAACTGTCCCATCGTAAGAAGATCACTATCATCAACTGCTACTCACCAACCGACGCAGCTGATGAGTACGAATTAAATGCGTTCTACTATCAGTTGGAGGAAGTCGTCAGCAATGATAAAGCATATCATAAATTTGTTGTTAGAGACTTCAACGCCAGAATAGGAGAGACCAACGAGAGCGAGCCAACAGGATCGGAAGTTTTGGACTAGGAGAAAAAAATAAGAATGAGAACCGCCTCGCAAGACTCCTGTCAGCAGTACGTCTCTTCCATGGAAACTCGTTTTTCCAGAAGAAAGAAAGCGGCCGCTGGACATAGGAGTCTCCCGACGGCATGACTCATGCGGAGATCGACCATATTCTGATAAACAGAAGATGGTGCCTACTTGACACATCGCTAGTCCCGTCATTCTGTACTGGTACCGATCACCGCCTTCATCGCGCCAAGATTCGACTCAGCCGTATGCTGGAAAAGAATTCATGTCATCGAGCACGAGGAAAAAGTCTAGCTGTATAAGATGAGAACATTCTAAACGAAGCCCTATCCAAACGTTACTTGCAGATTAAAGAAGACCCTATCGAAGACTACGAAGCGCTTGTCGAAAGACTGAAATGCTGCGCCGAATTCCCCACAGTTCCTCAACCAAGAAGACCAGATCGCATCTCTATTACTACTGAGTTGCTCGAAAAGGGATGGAAACCGAAGCTTGGTCCTACTGCAACACATATAACATGGCTAGTAATAAAGGCCAGCTGCAGAAGAGCTTTGCAGGAAGATCTACAATGGTACAAGCAAAAGAAAATACTGGAAGCAGCAGAGAAAAGAAGCGGTTTGAAAAAATGCCGTCGGGACTTGTGCGATTATAACGTTCCGCTGTCAACCCTGACGAACGAAGATGGGATCGTCAAAGCTTTCCGCCATGATATGGAATTAATAGCGGAAACGTTCTACACCAACCTTTTCCGTTCCACAATCCCCGTCCCCCGCTGGAGAAAAACCACCTGGAATTCATCCGTCGGAAGTTCGAGTTGCTATAGAAAGCATGAAAAGAGGCACAGCTCCAGGACCCGATAATATCACTGCCGATTTCCTCAGAGCTGGAGGCCACAATTTACATGTACTTCTCGCAGATCATATGACAGGTTGCCTTCAAAAGGAAAAAATCCCAGACAAGTAGAGGAGGTTGCGCACGGTAATCCTGCCCAAGAAAGGAAACCGAAGGGATCTTCGTAACTATCGTCCCACATAACTCGAAAGACCGAATTTCTATAAACCTCGGCATATATAGTTGATATATTTACTTATGTGATCTTATAAACTGATCTTAAGCTGACGCGAGGTTGGTATAGGTCTTCGTTGCCGTTGTCGTTATTGTCCCACACGTAACGTCACGGCTCTGAGGAAGGCGAAGTCGCCGAAACGTCAGCCATCGATCAATAACACCAAAAACAACGACAACGACAACGTAGAGCTGTACCAACCTCGCGTCAGCTTAAGAAGATCAGTTTATAAGACCACATAAATAAATAAATCGTCCCATATGCCTGTTAAGTGTACTCTACAAGCTCTTCACGAAGATTACCCTCTCGCGCATGTCAAGGACATTGGATGAGGCGCAACCAGTCGAGCAAGCAGGACTTCGAAAAGGATTTTGCTGCATGGACCACATCCAAGCCTTGCTCGGGGTCATCGAAATTTGTCGGAAATACCACTTGCCTCTAGTCGTAACCTTTGTCGACTATGAGAAAGCGTTTGACAGTACCAAAACGAATGCAATCCTATCAGTGCACGTCGACCAAGGAGTGGACCCGTACTACATAAGAACTCTGTCCGACTATTATCGCAACTGCACTACGAAAATACAGCTTTTCCATCGATCTTTTACAATACCTATAGGAAGAAGGCTTCGACAGGGTGACACAATATCGCCAAAGCCCATCAGTGCTGCACTGCAGTGGATAATGGGCACTCGATTGGGACGAGAAAGGCATACGCAGTTATGGAAAATTCCTATCAAACCTTCGTTTTGCCGACGACAATGTCATCTTCTCAAGATATGCCAGCAAAGTAGAGACGATGATCAATGAGCTCAACGAAGCGAGGAAGAATGATCGGACTACGCATAAATCGAAAGAAGACCCAGTTCATGAAAAAAACATGGTGCGAAGGCAAAAAATTGAATTGGATGGCACTCTCATTGCAGAGACCACCTCGTACGTTTACCTTGGGCGATCAATGAACATGGAAAACAACATGAACTAGATAGAAAAAGGAGAGCAGTTTAGGCCGAATTCGGGCCTCTCAAGGAAGCCAACTGAAGGACCCGAAAATCCGCGCTCACCTCTTTGATTCTGTACTCCTCCCAGCGCTCTTTTATGCTGCAGAGACGTAGGTTGATACTTCAACTACGTCAAGAATATTATACCTTTTTATTTTCTGCCTACTATAATTTCGCGGCAGGGTACTAAGCGAAATACAACCACAACGTTGCTGAGATATTTGCAAAACTCTGGACCGCAGGCGTCTATGGCGGGGAACGAACGCGCTATTGTCCTTTCCGGGGAGTAACGCGTTTCACCACCACACCATGCGGTCCTTCGTTTTCGCCTGTCTCTCAGCTATTTCTATCGATCTTTGCCACAACAATCACCCGTCAGCGGGATTGATCTGGGGCGCCCAAATCAGCATAGAACCCAGTTAAGTTTAAGGAATGAATGGCATATGTGCTGGGGTCCGCGCAGCTAGTGAAGACGGACCGTCCAAGTATCCAAGTAAGTAAGTAATTCTATAGTAGATTATGTCAAAATTCTTAGTTTTGTGTGGTCATAATAAAGCAGGAAATTCATGTTGGACCATCAAGGAAAAAAATCAGGATAAGTTTTAAAAGTGTTAGTGAATTTAATACATTGAATCCAATTAGATCCCTCGTTGTTGTGGTCGCATTGTAACGCGTGATGTTTTAGAATGACTCGATTGTGATGGATACACAACATCTGTCGAGTTCCCTAGGACAAATAGAAGAATTCATGACACCTGACGACAAGGTAACAACATTCCCCATCACACGAATTTCATTCAAAGAAGAACCAAAGAAATCTGTTAAGGAGCGACGACCACAAATGACCGTGAAGGACATCAGCAAGCTTGATTTTTTTCGCGTTGTAACGATAACAATGGTGAAATAGTGAAAAAACAAAATACAAGAGTTTGATGTATATGTCAACTTTTTCTTAAACACCTTTCCTGAAAACACAGATTTTCTTATTCAATTATTTCTAATGATAATCTGGGAATGCTCCAGCAAGGTTGTCCTAGGCACGCATAGGATACAAAAGCATAACGGAGACCATTTTTAAGTTAAAGTCAATATCCTCGCACAGGAAACTAAGACACCAACGCGAAACTTCTTCAGACTTTTTCGATAAATGCCAAAAACCCCACAATGAATAGTAGGGAGGAATGACCAGAGGTCACACGCGACCTCGCCCCGTATCTTGGCATCAATTTGTGATATGGGATGGTGCAGTCATCAACCATGTGCGACTATAATCAGCTGTTCTAAACTTCCTCATTGGAAGTCACGTAAAAAGCGGTGAGTGTTTCGAGAAGCTGTTGATCATTTAATTGCCATAGAGTATTTCGTCTTTTTGTACGTGTTATTGAAGCGTTCGGCCTAGCAGATTGCATATCGATATACCCTTCCAGGCTCTAAAGAAGGTGATACTGCCGAGACGTAAGCTACTGCTATATTATAATCATTAAAAAGGCGAAATCTCCAAGCAGAAGCCAAAACAACTCGCAAAAAGTTCGGACACTTTAGCAGATGATAAGTGCAAGAGAACGAGTACAATGAAAAAATTGTTGGGATCCGCTCATCATGTGGTAACAGCTCACTCAAAGGTGAAATAGAAAGTGGAAAAAATATTCCCGCTCCTCTTGCAAAACTTTCGAATTGACTCACATGTCATATATGACCCCGTTTCCGTCACAATACATCTACGGTAGTTGGGTCAATCCCGCGCACCCGAATAAACCAATCTCTCTGTCATTCGTAGGGTAGGCAAATTGGCAGCGGATTTATCTGGGAGGCCAAGAAGACTAATTTCGTAGATCGATAGGTCGATGAAAGTCATTGTACTGCCCAAACATCTACTTAATAAATTCTACGAATGGAGATGAATGCATGGTTAATTCTTAAATGTGGGTGCTGCACTGAACCTTTCATTGTTTTTATCGGAAAGAAAAATTACACATTAACTATTTCATTAGATTTACTCTTTTACATTAATTTCCTCTGAATATTTTAAACCTATACTTCCTACAAATAAGGAATTCTGATACATAGAGACTAATAGAAGTAATCATTCCAAAGTACTAATATATTCTAATACCAAACTCCTTAAAAATAGAGTTCACAGTGAATTTACTGGGTCGCTTCGTTCCCACCTGACTAACCATATGCATTCGACGACTACGTCTTACAGCCGAAAGAACGAGTGAATTGAGAATTATCAGCAAACTGAACGGTACCACATACATTACTATAGTGTATGCCCATCCAAAGAAGATATTCCTGAAAAAGACGGATTATCGATTGATCATTCCAAGCGATTATTCAGAAAACTAACAAGGCAAGTAGTGAATATTGAAACTTTTCTTTAAAAGAATTATTGTTGAAATTAGAGATTCCGTGAGAGTGGTTTGATCGGATGAGTAATAGATATATGTACCTTAGATTTTACAACAGGCTTAGGCAATCAGTAATAGATACGTGATATCCATAAAAACTGTGGCTTTCTAGCCGACTATGGATCAAAGCTCTTATGACTACTATCTGCCCGATTACTGATAAACAACAGGATTTACCGCTCCCATCTTGTATCTTCAACGATGCTGATTATCAGTAAATACTTAAACCCTTAAAAAATATGCACACAAATGAAAACTCAAGAAAATTACTTCCCAAAAATTGTCTTAAAAATACTAATGGTGCGAAGTGCTCGACTTCTTTTCAGGAGCACTATTCATAAAACCCTAAAAAGGTACTGCCTTATTGTAGCTCCACGGATTCCTTCTTCTCAACTTGCAATGTAGCGGCACAGGAATAATGTTTATTCGTATGATAGGATTACCCTTGCTTTCGTAGGACGTTTTAAATAAGGACTTTGAAATTTCCAACCGGAGGCCCGTCAAAAAGTAAATCCTTGTTACAGTTGAGCCTAGAGAGCTACTGACAGCTACTTAATCGCTAAAAATAAGAATAAAAACAGAGACCCGAATGGTGTAGTGGTGAAGTGCGCTGCTCCCCGGTAAGGACAACAGCGCGTGTTCGTTCTCCACTGCATACACCTGTGGTCCGAGTTTTGCAAATATCTCAGCATTTCATACGAAAAACAGAGAATTCAAACGACAATTGTGATGAATGCTATTCACATTCTTCCATCACAGCAGATTCCATTGCACAGATATGTGCTCTAGGAACAACTGTAGACTGTAATTGCATTGTCTCGAGTCATTCCAGAATAGGAAAATAGAAACAGTGACAGAAGTAACATGCTATCTACTTTTTTATAATGGCAGGATACGATGTGAAATACAACGACCGGAACACTGCGAAATGAGCAGAATTCAGAATCTCAGTTGGGCTTCGAACGTGCGACTAACCTTACGAGGAACTTGCTATTTACCGCACCAACCGAAAACCGTGTTTTCCTTTTCTAGCAGCGGTATTCTTACTCTAACGGTGCTATCACCCGCCAATGCAAATGATCTGGAGAACAAGAATGAACGAAAAAGAGAATAGGCGGTAAAAGTTAAGACATTGTGATTTCGACTGCAGCTTCAGCTTAACTGGATTCAATGGAGATTTTTGTTCCCCAGATCATTCTCATTGACAGCATGTACCTAATAGCACCGTTAGAGTAAAAAATTAGCTGAGAGAAATCCAAAAAAAGTAAGAGCCTCGGTTGATATGGCGATAACACGTGAGCCTTGGGTAAGGGTAATCGTGGCTCTGAAGCTCATCTAAGGTTCTCAATTCTGCTCGTATGTCAGCATCACTATCATATAGATTACCTATACAAATCAGACAGCCTTAAGGCAGTCGGTTGTAGCAACGGAATGTAGTAGTTGATATTGAGACGATAGCAAACATTTGAGACATGGACCTAAAAATAAATCAAATAACAAAAAATTTAGGTGTACTTATAGCAACTCTTGAAAGTAAATGATTTCGGATATTTAGCACAAACGACAAAGAAACGAAATTAACTGATTAAATTGAAAACTGTGGATAGAAAATCATCCAGAAAATGCCTGATGATAGTGGTGTGTGTACCAACTGAGTGATGATTTACAAAAGCAATGCAGAAAAATACTTTTGGAAGGTGTTAGATTACTACCTTTTATCAACGCTACTAATTGTAAAACATTTTATAGTCAGTGTCGTTCCCCATGATAAGAAATGACTCGCTGTTAGACTTTCTTCAAACAATTCTAGCAAAGTAAACTATTTTCGGTTCACTAAACAGTTCTGCCTGCTTGGAAGAACTGAGGTCTAACCATTTACTGTCTAAGATTAGCAACGGCAGCACTGCATCCCCTGTAAACGATCACTGACACATATCAAAATAATAAGGGCAAAAAGAATTGATTCGAATTAGGTCTTATTCTTATCCAAAAGCCTTACCTTAATTCCAAGCCTAATTAATAGAGAATTTATTGTTATTTGCAAATGATCTCGTGCTATATATATATATCAGATACAGTAATCTGGGATAGAAATTCATCTATGTGAACTTCAGAATAATTAGTAAAGCCAGGTACGCTCTTGCTTTACGAAGATATAAACCCGCTCGGCTTATCCTCCATGTCTTCATTTAGAAAGCATTTATTGCCGACTTTTAATGATGTCTGGATTTTTCGGGACCGACTCTTCTCTTTTGTCTGAGAGTCTGAATAAATCCATTCAAATAAATATCATTTTATTTACCCTTTCGCACTTGAAAAAATCAGTTACCATACTTACAACACTGTATGCACTTCATACACTTATTTCCATTATATACAAATAATTAGAGCTCTGGAAAACCTCAAAAAATCGCGTCGTATTGAAGAGTATGCTGAATACAACAAGGCAGATGATGAGTGTGGTGACACGTTTCTTCGGAAGCCATTCCACCGATTTATATGGATGACACACACCAATATAACGATGAACGGATACACCTACGGTCATGAACACACTGAAAACCATACAGTCAGTCGATAATCGATTTCTGGTGTGCCCAAAGAGATTATTCTAGCAACTTCCCTCGATTGAAAAAAAATGAAAAAAATAATGAGAACAGCAACGCTTACCTTAATGTTTGTGCCATCATCATAAGCCCATACATATAAGGCGCCATGGAGTAACTGAAAGAATTATGGGAGAATGTAAAATTTTCTAAGCCCTTTCACCCACTTTTTTCGTATTCTTTCTATTCATTTCCCTCCTGCAATTTTGCTTTTTCTCCTCTCTCGTACTGTATTTGGCTCGTGAGATTGACGATTTCACGTCAATTACTGAGTAGGAAAGCCTATAGAAGAACAACACTGATTAAAAAATCGAATTCAACAAAATGTTACTTAAGTGGCAGTTTTTCACTTTTTTCAAGAATATAAGTTTTAGAAGAAGCTAATATGAAGTGAGACGCATACCGAAAAGGATCGTTAAGAAACCACCTTCCTGACATAAAGTAAAGTGATTTTGTTCGCACTTTTGCTGAGCAAACGCGAGGTGTTGTTATTCTTTGTTCACGATTAAGTTGACGTTTCGGCGAATTTCGCCTTCTTCAGAGCCGCTTTCTATGAGGTCTCCACTAAGTATGTCACGTAGAGACCAACCGCACAGAAATCACGTGTAAAGTAAAGTAATATTAAAAGTATAAAGTAAAGTAATATTCGTTGCTAAGGATTTTAGCACTCAAACACTTATGATCGTCCTCCGTTCACTGTGAAATCATGAATAGTTAGACCTTGGCGCGGCGTATTTTTCAGACTGCAACGCACTCGAAATGTATGTTCATGACTGGAACAGATGACAACAACCAGCGGAATTATAAAAACCACGAAACATTTCTATACCTATCACCTTGGATCCACATCTTTTTTCAATTTCTGACGTCTAAAAATACAAAAGAAAACGTTTTGTAAAGCAGTCTAGAATTGGCGTGTACCAATTTCCGTTATAACGTCATTGCATTAGTTCGCAACCCCAAACCGGCACATTTTGTCGGTTTCTTAACCTCATAATTAAAACAGAAAATGGTTTCTTTAGATATTCCAGGTACAATAAGACGAGTCGAACATAGAAAGAAAAACAAAAAGGAGGGGAGAGAGTTCTTCTTCAATAAAAGCTATCCACAGTAGGACTAGTGCCATTAACAAGAAGACTGAACTAGACATAAAGCGCAATTTCTATACGGTTGACGAATCCTGAAGTTTTTATCAGATAAGATTCTAGTTTCTTTTAGATACCTGAAGAGAGTTTCGTGTTTTTTGCCTCTGTTCCATTTTGCTGTGTCCTGCCTTATGCATACAATTACAAATCGATAGGGAAAAGTGTATATGTATGAAAAGCACTACGGTAAGTGTACAAAATAATGTCGAACTGACATTATTCACTAAATCATGAACTGTTTTCAGTTATAGATCTCTGTTGTATGACAGGTGTGCAGCCCATTAGTCGCAATGCTATCTGGTTCATCGTAGGTGGTAGATAGACGAATGAATTTGAATCGAATGGAACCGTATATTTGTGATTCGTACGGGGTGAAAGTTCGGCAATGCTCAGTCCTTTCGAAAGTTCAAATCACGTTCATGTCAACATCTTCCTAGATAAACCTGAAACCAAATTAGGGACACTGAAAAAATGGATTGTTTAGCTTGCATATAGCGCAAGGCCGAGCGAAGAACTATTTCAGGACACTTCTAACCACTACGTTACATGTCTTCTGCGTCCGCAGCTATACCCATGCATATTTCAGTGGTTGTGGTTTCGTGGGTACGTCTGTTTGGGTGTGCGTGCGTTCCACATTTCGGTTCGGTTAGAGAAATCCAATTAAGTGATTTTCACGTATGTGGGAAACGACTTTCTAATCATAATAACAACAACGGTTCTATGTCTACTCTAAAGTATGACGACAAATTAGAAATACGTTCCAGCGTGAGAGTTTGGTAGCCACCTGTGAGGTATATCTCAAAAACAGATAATGGACTGAACCACATTATCATTACGCACGAACTCTTCGATACAGCACCTTGGAGTAGAATAAGTGGAAAGGGGTTCTTGAACTTTAAGAGCTATCGTTGGATATCTAATTATTGTAAGGCTGCTATTTGCACTTAAAGTACATGCAAGCTGGCTTTGGGAACTTCAATAACGACTCGGTAATATCATCTGAGAAAACTCAATTCCACGACATATGGACGATATGTTCCCCATTCAGCAAACTAGAAACCGTTTGTAACAATGAAAAAGGACTGTCCTTTAGAAAATATAGCAGAGGGGTGAGACTCTATGATATGACCATAGCCATGAAAATCAATTTCTTCCAAGAACGAGGTCCTAAGACGGAAATCTGCGGCTCAAATCACGTGGTCCAATGAGGGATTTCACTGACCTTGTCACCTACGAACCAGCGTAAAAACTACTACAAAGACATCGCGAACTTTGTACAGATCTGGAATAGTTCTTCAAAGAACTCATACCTTCTAAAAAGTCAACATTGGTCACATAAACGTTACGGTTGGTCTCTAAAAACTGAATAAATAGCGCTGTACCGAGATCTACTATTTGGAACGGAAGCTACAGCACAATAAGTAGACTGCCTAACTCCATAGCTACAGTCAACATCTACATACTGCCTCCTGATTCCGAGTGCTTTCCTATCAATGTTGGACATAGAAGCATCTATGTCGACCGCAGGCTCATTTATCTATCAAGTGATTCGAATGAAATGAAGTAGACATTCGCCAGTCATGCGCTTAAAGTGTCTAATAAGTTTCCTCAGACGATGAACACGAAGCGTATTACACTTTTCACACGACGCCTTCTATTTTTAGTTTTTATCCAGGCGGGAGTGTACCTACAAATAGCAAATAGTGTACAAATAATTGGAATGGGAGTCCGCAGATTCGACTCCTTTCGAAGGCAACAGAGTACAGACGTTATGATGTCTAATATATCAGATGGAGCTAACTGTGATAATTTTTCACGATAATGGCTGAATATAAGCCATTAGCGACAGGGTTTAACAATACAGAAATAGACAGCAAGGACCCAACAAGTCATCTACCAACTAGTCACCTCAGATGAAGAACCCTGAGGAAAGATGTGACTCTGTCCATACTCTTAGGTCGTTCAGATATCACTAGAATCTCTAACATTGAGATGAATGGGGGCTCTATACGACTAAATACAGGTGCTTTTTTCATCATGAAATTAGTGTCTTCCTTCTCTCAAAGTCTCAAAGTCTTCCCACTCTGTTTCGCGACTTATCCATAACATTGGGAAGTTCTGCTAGTGTCACATCACACATGTCACAATTTGATAACTTTTACTCCATCAATGACCAAGTGAATAATATCATAACAGAAGCAGTATAACGAAAACCCCACCACTTATGGTAATATTAAAAAAGAAAGAACATCAATCATTTGTGGATGGTACAATTCTCATAGGATATGGGATGCATTCGAGCCCATTAAACATCGTAGAGGTGATTAGGTACGTATTTAGCGTACATAAAGACTTTTTGGATCCTGCCTATCTATCCGGTCAGCGTTTTTTTCCTAGACAAGTCCTCTACCGATCTTGGAGGGATAGAGAGAATGATTTTCCTGCGGTCTGGAATCGAATCGACTCCTTAGCAAAGTGTTAGTCGTTGAAGGAAAGTTTCGTTTAAAAAAAACCCCTATTCTCAGATACTAGGGCGACTCAATAAGGGAAGCTATGCACGCATGCTTGAGTGCAGATAAAGGCATCGTATAACAAAATAAAATCTACACCAAGAAGCCATACTAATCTAATTTATATACCACATGCTTTCAACAATTACATGCAATACGCCCACGTCGCTACTAACACCAACCTCTTTTTTCTTGTTTCTAAAAGTAATAGGCTTCTATTTTCATTTGGAGGATTCTACAAAAAATTTCTACGTGCGTGATGGTTATGAGACAGGGAAATAGGCGAAAGCTATATTGAAGTTTTGTGGCTTCTACCAATTCTGGCACTCTTGTCCTTCAAATTCTAATGAACACAGAGTTCCTATATGCCATTTTAGTGCCCCTTCGTGTAAAACAAAAATGACTTCTAACTTAACAATGGTGCAATAGAAAAACAGGAACAGAAATATGTCATTAAGAGAAAATTTTGAAGCCCATTAAGAAAAATCTCTTACATGCCTATTACTCCTAGAAGAACGCTAGAAGAATGGCGACATAGTAAAGAAAAGATTATTATGGAGATGATAATAACTCGAGTAACGGTGATAAACTCTTTTGCTAACCTAATTTAACAAAACTGTTTCTACTTATACATATTGATCAAGAATTTATGCCATAAAAAGGCCTCTATATTTATGCATTTCTAAAAATATCGATACAATAATAACACTGATAATAGTACTGATATGCAATTCTATTAGGTCCAATGCTAAAATGGCCTTACAGCGAAAGTTTGAAAATCTGTTAACTAATTCGCGTGGCTCGGTTTCAAGAAATCACAGACAAACGAACTTTACTAGGAGACAAAGTACTGTTGATAATGCACCGAGAAAATCAAGGGTCACCGTGATTGGGGCATAACAATACCTGAGAGTGCGCGTTCGCTAACAGAATTGGGCCCAAGTTTTGCACCGTCACAACCCATTTCTAAAACGACCCTCCGTAGAATAGCATGCAACCTTTATGAGCTTCAAGACCGACTTCGCTATGAGACCAAACAAGAAACATCAAATAGAGATAAAAATCAAGAGGCGGCGACACTACCACCATTTCCTTTCCCTAAACGTTCTTCAGACAGCAAGACCCTAACGATGGAGTTGATATAAAATTCCGCATGTTTTCGGACGGCGTTTTCAACACTCTTAATCACTATCGCTACAGAAGATTTATCTCTAACCTTATAGCCGCACAAAAATATGGCATGCGAGAATTAGAGAATTAATAAATTCAAGGACCATCACGCTATCAGATAGTGACAAGGTGAGA